CTACTAAGAGACACCCAAACATCTCCACTGGCTAGGACTGGAGACTCAGCCATACCTGTCTGAGTTAGCTCCTCCCTTCACACCAGGGAATTGGAGGCCAAGTGCTTTCTTGCAGTGTTGGGTGCCAAAAGGGGAGCAGACTGGTGATGGAGGGAAGGCCTGGGGCCCCGTCAGGAACCACTGGAGGTAGGGGTGCCTGCGTTTTCACAGCCCTGTATTTGGATGGACCACAGGCACAACACAACCACAGGGGGTGCCACCCAGGTCTGGGCAGAGGAGGAGGGGATCTTGGTAGCTTCCATGCAATTAGAAATCTGGGGATAAGACCATCTCCCCACCTCCCACATGGTATGGCTTTCTACATTTCCACCCAAGGAAGGGCTTCTGGGACAGGAGGGGAAAATCTCTGAGCTTTGGGCTGTCCTTCCTGTCCCTCCTTTCCCAGAGGGTCAGCCTCGCTCCTGACCCTCCCCTGCCTGCCTGCACCTTGAATCCACACACATACTAGAAACCCTTTTGGGACTGGGACCTCCAGGTGGGGCAGCCTGGACAGACTGTGCACACTCCATTCTGGGACTCAGCTTCACACCAGGGCTGTAGGAGCAGAGGCAGGAGGCCGCCAGAAGACCCAGCCTGCAGGGTCTGGGAGGTCCCAGTGCAGACGTGACTAGAGGCTGGGAGGCAGGCCCTGAACTCCTAAGGAGCTCCTTGCTCTACAGTCAGCAATGAGGGTGGGGGGTAGGGGGGATGGGACAGGGCCAGCACCGAGGCTGATGGCTGCTTAAAAATTATTATGAAAGGAGAAGGGATTTAGACTTTTGTGGTTCAATAGTGAATAATTGCTATCAGGACTGATTGTGAGTACTGCAAATGTAAAGGGAGATGTTTTGTAACAAAAGGAGGGGAGTGGTTGATCTTGCAGTCGAGGAGCCAAGGACCCTGGGACCATCAAGGGAGAAGAGTGGAGTGCAGGGCTCTATCCAGAGAAGCAGCGATACCAGAGATGGAGGCAGAGATGATGACATGGAGAGATGGAGTGGTTGGGGACTCTGGACTCAGGGAGGGAGAGAGGCTGTGTGCTGGTGGCCGGGGGGGATGGCTTGCAGGGTGTACCCTTTGTTTGTTTGAATGATTATATATTTCTGAGTACTTCAGGGTACATCAAAACAAAACCAAAAAAAAAAAAACAGAGAGAATGGAAGGCAATGCTGTTGAATGATGATGCATGTAGGGGATTGTAATCATTGCAATGAAACGAAATATGATAGGATGAATGTAAAGCTGATGTTCTTCCATGTAAACTATCACTCCATTCACAATAAAAACTTAAAAAAAAAAAAAAAGATTATGATCCCTTATTGGTGAGTTTGAACCAACTTGACAGCACTTTACAACAATTGATGAGTTAGCCACAACCATGCTGAACAAGTGGGGTTTGCCTGGAGCCCCCCTTGTCCACACTGTGACTCTAGAATGGCTGTTTCAGAGGTGAGAGCATCATCAACTTGAGACACCCACCCTCACTTCAACTTGCCAGCCCCTCAGACTTACTGAGCTCTCCAGAGTGGGGACTGTAGCAGGACCATCTCAGAGCCTCCACCTCCTCAAAGCCACCCCAGCCCCACCCCACCAGGCTTCTAGGAGCAGCCTGCGGAAGGATCTGAGCCCCTACCTCCCCCACATTCTCAAAGTTTGCCTGGAACCAGGCCTTTAGCCTCCCCTCCCCTCCAGCCCCTCCTCTGGCCACGCGGGCGCTATTCACCTCAGATGGTGTGAGCCAGGAGCCCAGCGAGTTTCCCACACTTTGGCCCCATTCATAGTGTTAAACGGCCCACAAAGGCCAGGCGTGTGCCTCAGAGGCCTCCAGAGCCTCTGCGGGGCAGCCATCTGGCCCGCACCGGGGAGGGAGCAGGCCTTTCATCCGGCCAGGCAGCAGCCCCCC